TTTCACCCTCATACCGGACGGGGTATTGAGGTTTATGGTTTTGGTGCCCATACCGGACGGGGTATGGGGACGACCCTATAATTAGGTTATTAATGTTAATGGTTCACGTGTAGCAGGGACCCCCTATGGATCCCCATGAATACTACTAGTAGGCTGGTAAAAGAGGAAATTTGTTGTCTGATTATTGAAGTGTAAAAGTATGACATGTGTTCTGTTACAAAGTCGATATGATTTTATGATGGTTATAATGTTATTATTTTCATTTGTTATTTTCATGAATCTCACCGAGGTAAGTGGACAGTAAAGGTTTTTATGTTAATAAATGAGTTTGTTATAAATTATTCTCCATTGATTGTTTTTGTTTTCTACCGATCTTTACTTCTATGGCAGTGAGATAGTGTGATGTCTTTACTGGGCTAGTGTAGCTCATTCCTTACTTAACCATTTCAGATCAAGAAGACGGGGTTCCCGAGCTCGTTCCGCAGGAAGATGGCGAGTTAGACGCCTAAAGACTTTATAGTTCTATTTATAGTTTTTATTTCGAGTATCTCTTTTAATTAGTTTATTCTCTCATGTTTTGAGTACGTTTTTAGTTATTGTATAAGAGATGTTAATCAAAATTTTTATTACACTTCTACATTTAAGATTTTTAATACATACATCTTCATTTAATTTCCGAGGCCATTACATCCTGCACACCGACCCTCAATCGTGCACCATACATCCTTTGGTTGCCGGATGATCTTCTTACTCTTCTCGCGCTGCCTCCCTTGCTGCTTAGGCTCTCTCACCTCTCTAAGGAATCCCTCATTTGTTTTCCTTACATACCCTTCACGCTAACTGTCAAATCCTCCTTCAACTGATTTGGATAATTCATCGCACCTCTTTGTCTAGGTCATTTGATCGACATCCAGATATGTGGTGCAATTCTAGTATGTTTATTTCTCTATATTTTCTAACCGCCAGATCTAATAGATCTTAATCATTCATTCACGCGTATAACTAAGCGATTTGCGTGGCCGAAATGACCCCTCTCTGATTAGTCTATTTTAACACCTCACCTGCCTAGGTTCAAAAGTTCACGACATTTCACTCATGTCCCATTTTGAATATTTTATTCAAAATAGTTTTTTTTTTAATTGCAGAAGACCCAAATTTTTTAATTTCCCTTCATTTGGGTCCATAAACTTAATTTATAATTTTGTTTGTTTAATTTATTTTTTCTAAAATTTTCTCGCGACCTCTATAATTTCGATTTATTCACGAGTGCTATATTATCAACTATTGATTTTTTTACATAATATCTATAAAATGCATAAATAATCAATGAAAAATGTAATCAAAAGTTTATATAATGCATGTAACGGCCCCAGAAATTTAAGTAAAATATATGTATTAAAAATGTCAAATGCGGAAGGGAAATAAAAATTTTGATTAACATTCCTTACACAATAACCAAAACGTACTCAAAACATGAAATAACAAACTAACTAAAAGAAATACTCGAGATAAGAGCTATAAATATAGTTATGGAGTCTTTAGGCGTCCCCTTCGTCGTCTTCCTGCGGAACGGGCTCGGGAACAATGTCTTCCTGATATGAAATTGTTAAATAAAGAATGAGCTATACCAGCCCAGTAAAGACATCACACTATCTCACCGCTACGGAAGTAAAGGTGGGTAGAAAACAAAAATGACCAATGGAGCATAATTTATAACAAACTTGTTTATTAATATAAAAACTTTTACTGTTCACTTACCTCGGTGAGATCCATGAAAACGACATATGAAAGCAATAACATTATCATCATCATGAAATCATATAAACTGTATAACATAACACTTATCACGCCTTTGCATTTCAATCATTAAACAACATATTTTCCTTTTTTACCAGCCTACTAGTATCCATGGGGATCCATAGGGGGTCCCCGCTACCCGTGAACCATTAACATTTCAACCTGATTCCAGGGCCGTCCCCATATCCCGTCTGGTATGGACGCCTAAATCATGAACCTCAATACCCCGTCCGGTATGAGGGTGAAACGCTCCGTCCTCATACTCCGTCTAGTATGGGCGCCAAAACACATAAGGTCTCCATACCCCGTCCGGTATGAGAGACCACGTTCCCGGTAGGATTCCCTACGGACCTGGTCCGTCCACCATCTCCCAGGATATCTAGTCAGGCTGTCCACATTTTCTACTTATC